TTTCTTTTAACTTTGTTATATATATATATATAGTTGTTGGTATTTATGGGATTCTTTGTTAAAAAAATATAACAGAAATCATATAAAATATAATATATAATTTTTCAAATGAAACATTGTGGTCGATCCATTAAAAATATGATTACTTTTAAAAATTGTCAATATTTGAACAAATTCTTTCCAATAATTATGTAAAAAAGATATATTAAACGAATATAAACTTATTCAATTTTAATCAAGATCAAAAACTTTTTTTTTATTCACCGAAGCGATCAATTTCACGTTTACTACGACGTACTATCACATATTTACAATTTATTTTAATTTTATGAAAAGTAATACTGTGAAAAGGATATAAGCGTAATTGGAAGTGCAAGATAAAACAAACAAATTCAAATGAACGTAAGATACTTTTAGTTACACAAAAGAGAGTGAACAAAAATTCCACGATCTAACGGTAGGGATGTCGTTATCGCATTTTCGTTTTAAAGGACTGTATTACTAAATAGAATGGGGTTATTTAAAGTTTCCTATGTTCAACTAGAAGCTCTATCGAGTTAGGGGGATAACGGATAATCGACATTCCCTTCTATAAAGCAAACGATGTCTTGTTCTCGTTATAATCTGATACGGTCCATTTCTTTAGTCTATGAGTTTATATACACTTATATACTATACCTATATACGGTATGTTACTATATATTATAGTATAGTATAATAATTTGCATATAATATATGTATAAATATATTATAATATAGTATACTATATGTAATATATATATAATATGTTTAAATACACACTATATATAGTTCGTGTGTATACATATGTGTATATATGTTTGAAGTACCTGTAAGATTTTTCAAAGCTTCTCTAACGCGATTAATTTTATCCTTTCACGTATCAGTTTTTTCTCCAAATTCTATCTTACACTTCGATATATTTATTATATTTTTCAAAGGCGTCTAAAGAGTGAAAAAGAATTACAAATTATCGCGCGTAATGTTTCGAGAATAAAAAGGAAAAAAAAAAAAAAAAGGAGAAGAATGGAGAAACGCTTTCGTCTTAATCGATAACGTTACAAAGTTTATTCCCTATATTTGTCTTCCTTTGAAGTAAACCAATCATTATACACCTTTTTCGTGTATTATTAGTAACTTTGGTGAAATAACTAACAATAAGAGTGAGTAATTAATAGCAAGCGTTATGGTTAGTGATTTATAATATATATATATCGTACGATTATTTCATTTAACTCGATAGATCTTAGATTTGTATCAATGAATTTTTATAATGTCAACGACTCATTTCCAATTGAGCATATTTAATTAAAAGAATAAATGATTTCTCTCAATTAAAAGAATTGTTCTCTCTCTCTTGGAGAATAAAATTCTTTTTATTAAATTATATAAATTTTCCATTACGTTCGCGTTATTTGTAAGAAATGTTTTAAAATTTTTTCTCATAATTATTTCATTTTGCATTTTTTATTAACATATATTAATTGTTATTATTTCTATTAGTATTATAATATATTAATTGATTATTATCTTGATTGGTTTGTTTCTCTGGTACCATTTCTTTAAGGCTTTTATAGAGACAAATTGAATACAAAGAGAAGCCTTGTGAAACATTGTAAATGGACTATCCAATGAGAATAATTCAAATGGACTATTGTTATTATAAAGTGAAAATGAGATAAATGACTAGGCTATTGTTCTGCTTATGATATAGATTTGTCTGTCTCTGGGGACTATTGATTTGAAACAATTGATTTAAACTAGTTTCTACGATTTATGAGAATTATATTCGTTTCATGCAGTTTTTTTCTTTTCTTACGCGGATAAAAACATTTAGTTCATTTCAATATGTGAAAAAGAAAATTTGTTAATAAAAAATCTGATCTAATTGTAACTTTCGATTATATTTTATTTCCTAAAAAAAGTAAAGAAAATTCATTAATTAATATACTTTGTCGTATCTTTAATCATTCAACGGACACATAAAAATGTTTATCATTGTCGTAATATTAAGCCTAATTGTTAAAGAAATTAATTTCAATTATACAACAAAATTTTAAACATCAATCTATTTGGCAATAAAATAAACAAATATTCTAAAATTAAATTTAATCCATATTAGACCTTGAAACGGCTCACATAGAAATAATTTTTAAATAATTTTTCCATATAAATCATTCTCATTGGTTCAATAGTTGTAATGTTTAAAGAAGATCAATTGACTGATGAAACTAATAATTATACGATTGCTCGTAGCTTTTTCTCGATTGTTCATCCTATTCGTTCGTTTAATTCATCGAATAGAAATCCGTAAATGGAATAAAAATGATAGTGTTTACGAAGAAGATCTGGCTGATCAATCATTTTTCTTTAGTTATATATTTTTGTCTAACGAAAAAACTGAACTCTCATATTATATTGTTTATAAAACACTCGATAACATTTAATAAAGCATTTAAGGATATGTTTTTACTGTGTCCGATGTTATAAGTTCCAGTTGTATTTATAAACATGGAATATAGGAGAATTAAATTGCGAGAAGGGGGAAAGGAGAAGGGGTAGGGATCAAGGAATCATGGGGTAAAGGGGTAATGGGGTAAGGGACGATAACCAACGCGATGAAACTTTAAATAAAGATCGATGATCAACAACCCCTGCGAGAAATGTCGTTAAATCTCTCGAAAGAGATCTCTAAGGAAATGAATTGATGTTCTTTTCTTTCAGAGTCTCATCCCCTCGTTTCAACCATTCATTCATGGGTCAAGCTCTTTTTCCCGTTTTGCGCAATAGGTATACTAATACATGCACACATACGCGTGCACACAAGCACAAAAACAGTCCACAATTTTTGGACATTTTATCTTCTATCAGCCCTCAAAATAAGAGAGAGAGAAATATATTTAGATACGTGTGTGTGTATGTGGGGGAAAGATAAAATAGGACAAATAAAGTTGACGAATGAGAGAATATAGGAAAGAAGCAGTAGTAGTAAATGGTGTGGGTTGACGACGACAACTTAGAAAAAAAGGAAACAACTGTTTTTCTTAAAAATATATCTACGAGAGAATCCGTTGATTTATTTCATGGCTTCTTTCTGGTCTAATTTTCATCTCTCTATCTATCTCTCTCTCTCTTTTTTTGATGGTAACGTGATTTTTGACTCGCGTGTAAGTTATACTTATTGCAATTGCGCTTGGGCTTTATTTTCCTCTCATTTTCTATCGAATTGTCTTTTTTTTCTTTTTTTGTTCTTTTTTCTTTAATCATTTTTCATTTTGTTTTGTTTTTTTTTTCTTTCTTTTCTTTTCTTTATTTTCCATTTCATTCGAAAGGACAAAAATCGTATGTCTTTTTTTTTTTTTAATCGAAATGTTTTCATTGAATAATTATAATTAGAAAATTTCTATGTGACAATATACACTTGCAGATGCATACGCATCAAATACGTATCAAGTTTCGAACACGATCGAAGTTTCTTACTTTGTTATGTATGTACATCGACGAAGTGTGTGTAATTTAGCAAGTAGTAAAGTTCGTTGTGATATAAGTTAGTAAGTATCGTGTAACTCGATAATGTTTGTCAAAGTTTCAATTTGAATCTGACACGTAACGACAATTCGTTTTTCTTTTTTGTTAATTTTAACGAAAAGTTACAAATAAATATATAAGTCTCAAAGGGAATTATAGACGGTTAATAAATCTAATGAACAATTTATTTTGAACTAGTTGTACGTTTCATCCCTTACTGGGGACTTCATCAGCAACTTGATCATTTACAGTTCATTCAATACGATACATATAATCTTTTTTACAGAGTCATACATTTCAATAAAACTTAACATATTACAATACAATTTGATCCTAAA